ATATAAGTTGGTTCGGACTTGAAGGCAATGATTTTGAGGTTGTGTTTTTGTTGTTTTGTTGTGTTTTTTTTCTTTAAGTCATCTTAGAGCCCTGGGTCTCACAAATGGTCCAAGTGCTCAATTTCTAGCCTAGAGTTTGGGAGTTTGAACCCACCCAGGGCATGTTGGTATAAGGCCTGGTGATCTAGCCCTGAAAACCCTTAGAACACACTTCTGCTCTGGACATGTGGGTGTCTGAGAGTCAGATTTCACAGCTGCAGACAAGAGCTGTCCCTACAATGCTTTTCTCTGAGGTCCCCCAAGAAGCAAGTGTGGCATTTCTGGACCTGGGAGTGGGCGGCCATCGTCTGTATCCTTGGGCTGTGTCCTGCTGCCCTAATGTCCTGACCGGCTTTCTCTCCTCAGTCTTGGATGACCTCAACATGCTGGTGAATACACCAGAGGAGAGCCAGCCCCTGCGGATTGAACTGGCTGAGCTGTTAGCACAGAACCCCAAAAAGTTCTACGAGGAAGCCAAAGCAGCCACGCTCCGCTTTGGAGTTCAGCGGCCCACCTAGAGCTGACGGCCCCGTCGTCACGTGGATGGACACACGTCACGGACTGGAAGTCAAGGCCCTTTCCCTGTATGGTCCATTCCATACCCATCCTTTCCTTCCTATGTTGCTAATGTTTGGTTTGTTTGGGAGTGGGGAACCCCTTCCTAGGTTCACCTGGTCACAGGTGCATCCCTCCCCATTTCCTCCCTCCCACCCCCAAGAGCCAGGGGTGCTGAGCTTTGCAAAGCTCTCGGCCAGTCTTCCCACAGCAGCCTGGTGGGGTTGCTGTCATATGCCCCCTTCGTTTTGGGGGGATAGGTGTAAGCGAGCTGCAGAAATAAGCCCAATAGTCACGTAGCATCCGGCTGGGACCCAGGCATCATTGGGGGTGGGGGGGCAGGCAGGGCCCAGGGGAGGAAGCCTGCATCCAGTGGAGTGATTTGTTGAGGGAATGATTTCAGTTCAATGAAGTCGTGACTGACACACAGACTCAAGTCACAAACTGAAGAACCTCACCTCCATGCTGGAAACCTCGCTGCCTTCTTTTAGAACCCAGTTGCTATCCCACTAGGCTTCCAGTGCCTCCAGCCAGGCCTCAGGCCTCAGCAGCACCCAGCCCAGAGGAGCCATGGACACTCCGGGGACTGGACAGCCATTAAAGTCCTGATGCATGCTGTGATCTGGTTGAGTCTTCATTGAGGGGATGGAGTGGTGCATGGAAGGCCATCTCCGGGGGTGTGGCCCTGCTTCCCATGGGCTGACAGCGTGCCTGCCTGTGTACCCTCCACTAGCTGCAGGAGAATGGGTCGTCCTTGGCCAGAGGAGTCTGCAGAGGGTCCACAGGGTAACACTTCCGTGTTACAGATAAGCGATTGAGGCACAGGTGCTTCAGGGACTATCGAGATCCACGTTGCTGAGCAAGGCGCCCTGATGATGCAGTGGGTAAGCATTCAATAGTGAAACAAAAGGTCACAGACTAAACTCACTCATGACTCTGAGGGGACTAGAAAGACTTGGAAATTTGCTTCCATAAAGAATGTCGTTGGTTTTGTTGTTAGGTGTCGTCTGGTTGAATACGATCCACAGCGACCCAATGAACAACAGATATGAACAGTGTCCTCTCCTGTGCCATCCTCACAATCTCCGACACACTCGAGCCCATTGCTGCAGTCAGTGTGTCAACACATCTGGTTGAGGCTCTTCCTCTCCTTCCCCATCCTGCCACCTTCCCAAGCATAATGCTCCTCTCCAAGGCATAACCTCTCCTAGCAACATGTCCAAAGTGTGCGAGATGAAGCTTCATTCGCTTTGTCTCCAAGTAGACTCTCTAAGACACATCTGTTTGTTTTTTTGGCAGTCTGTGGGATATTCAGCACTCTTCTCCAACACCACAAGTCAGAGGCATCAGCTCTTCTGTCATCCTTAGTCACTGTCCAGCTCTCAGATGCCTAGCAAGAGACTGAAAAGACCGTGGCTTGACTCAGGCACACCTTAGTCCTCAAAGTGAAGTCATTGCTTCTCAATAATCTGGAGAAGTCCCTGACTACACACTGTTCTAGTGCAATACGTTCATGATCTCCTGACTGCTGGTACCAGGTGTATTGATTGTGGATCTAAGTAAGATCAAATCATTCACAGTCCTTACTCTTTGTTGTTATGTGCCGTCAAGTCACCTGCGACTCACAGTGACCCTATGTACAATAGCTCTGAACCCTGCCCTATCCTGAGCCAGTCTCACTGACTGCAACATACCTAATCCCACTGTTCCAGTTAAACTGTCAGTCCATCTCATCTGGGGTCTTAATCTCCTGCACTGTCCCTCCACCCTTACTAATATGATGTCCTTTGCCAAGGACGGGCTCCTCCTGGCCATGTGCCAAAAGTATGTGAGATGGAGCTTCAAAATCCTAGCCTCCAAGGAGAAACTTGGCTTCACCTGCTCCAAGACAGACCTATTTGTTCTCCTGGCAGTCCATGGAATATTCAGTACTCCTCTCCAGCACCACAACCCAAAGGCATCAATTTTTCTGTCATCCTTAGTTGTTGTCCAGTTCTTTGATGTCTAGCAAGTAATTGCAAAGACCCTGGCCTCAATCAGGTATATCTTAGTCTCTGGGCTGACATCATTGCTCTTTAGCACTTTGGAGAGGTCCCTGACAGCAGACTTCCCCAGTGCAATGTGTCTTGTGATTTCCTGACTGCTGATGCCAAGGGTGTTACCCGATGGGCCACCCAAACTCCCTCATCTCCAATGAACAATGGGAAAACCCAAACAAACTAGAAGTTCTTCCATATTTGAAGCAATTACTTTAAACTGAAGGGAAACCTTCTGGTTGCATTTGTTCCTGAGGTCACTGGCTTTCAAGAGACAGAATGTGGGGGCTCTTCAAATCAAGGGAACTGCTCTAGGCCCTGCTGGCTCAGTTAGTGTGAGATTTTGACTGCCTCTTCCATGTCAGCCCTGCCCTAGACTCTCCTGACTGAGCAGTGTGGAAAGTGGGAAGAGATGCAGGGACTTGGAAAACGCACCGCCAATGGCGTGAACTGGAAGGTCTGGGATTGTTGTTGGTTTTTCAGTCTTTGTCAACACTTAGTGGACATTTTGGCACATTGTTATGTTTTCTCAGTTAATCCTCCCTGAAGTTTGAACTCTGACTCCAATTCAGAGCTGTCTGTCACCTGGGGCTCACTGAGGTCCACCCACTGGTCCAAGGCCACACAGCGGGTCAGTGGTGGGATTCAGGTCTTTCTGACTCCTAGTGACCCCCCCACCCTACATTCCTCCTCTGAATACCCTAGACACTTGTTGAAAGGAGCACATTGGATGAGGCCCAGGAAAGCAACAATTGTGGTCAGGGTGTGTGTGTGCACTCGTGTATTTATGTGTGTGTTTGTGTATCATCCCAGACGAGACAGCTTCCCTGGTGGAGATGGAGGGAGCAAGAGGGACCAGACGAGGCTTTACAAAACTACTTTTATTGTGGGTCACACTGGGCCATCTGGCCTTTCTGGAGCTTGGCTCTGTGCCCTCTGGAACAGCGGGGCCGTAAGCCAGCTGGCTGGGCACCCTGCCCACAGGCTCAGCCAGCACCTCACTTCTTCTTGGTCTTTACCAGTCCCTTCTCCACGAGGCTGCGATACAGCTCCTGGATGTAGGTGTACACGCATTTAGAGTCCGGTACAGCCAGGCGCACCATGTCATCCACCTCCAGCAGCTGGGCGCAGTCGGCTAGTTTCCTGTGGGACAGGCAGAAGAGGTCAAAGGTGAAGAAGCTGAGAGCCACAGGAAGGGATGTAAGGTGGCCCAGAATGATGGATATTGGCGAGTTCTGGTGGCCTAGTGGCAAGAAGCTGCAACTGCAATCTCAGAGATGCACGGTTCAAATCCACCAGACGCTCTGCTGGAGAAGGAGGAACAATCTCCTCCTGTACCAGTCAGATCTGATTTGACGGTACACACAAAAAATAATGAAATAAAATGAATTAAAAAAAAGAATGATGGATATTGGAGCTCTGGTGGCCTAGTGGCAAGAAGCTGCATTGCAGTCCCAGAGGTATGCGGTTCAAATCCACCAGATGCTCTGCTGGAGAAGGAGGGGCAATCTCCTCCTGTACATGTTAGATCCAATTTGACAGTACCAAAAAATAATAACATTTAAGAATGATGGATGTTGGAGCTGGGGATCCTCCTGGCCAACCATCTCATTGTATAGACGGGATATTTGAGGTTTCAACAAAGTCAATATGTGTAACCAGTCTGGCCTGACTCTGAACTCCGTGTTTCATAGCGTTGGGCATTCAGCCGAAGACAAGGGCTTTCGGATCTAAAGCTGCACTGGCCCACCCCTGTCTGTTGCCCCACAGGCTGAGGTATGTGTTCTTGGGAACCAGGAAGCTCCCCAGACCACGTTTCTCAGGACAAATGTAAAGGACACACATCCGATTCCAGGCAGAGTGCCTGCTTGCTGCACCAGCATTTCCCAGGCTTCATTCGTTCAGTCTAGCTGTGTTTACTGAGGGTCTAAAATGTACTAAGGAGCTCTGTTGGCCGAGTGTCAGAGTTTCACAGCCAACCGAAAGGCATTTATTTGGTTGGAATCCACCAGCTGCTCTGTGAGAGAAAGATAGGCAGCCTCCTCCCCTGTGACTTACAGCCTCTGAAAACCCGCTGGAGGGCCTGCTCTGAGCTGGTTCCAACTTGACAGCACACAGCAACAATGATGTACCAATGGAGACGTGGTCGTGCAATGGCCTAGCGCTATCAGAACACTTCTCAACAGATAGTAAGTATGAAAGAGGTTTTCTTTTTCTTTTCAAGGAGAAGAGTGAATTGGGGGGGAAGGGGGTGGACAGGGAGAAAAGTGCAACAATGAATGACTGGAAACCCTAAGTCTCTGTAAACTTTCATTAAAATTAATAAAATTTTTTAAAATGACCAAATTAAAAAGATAAAAAGATAGTAAGCAGTTCAACCGGCTGCTCCACGCAAGACAGACCTGGTGATCTAGTCCTCTCAAGGTTACAGCCTGCCAACCCTTAACCAGCAGTTATTGTTGTTGTGTGCCACCAAGTTGGAACTGACCCATAGCTGTCACTCAGGTGACTTTCAGAGGCTGTAAATAGCATGGGAGGAGACTGCCCCCCCCTTCTCCCGCAGAGAAGCTGGTGGATTCAAACTGCCTGCCTTTGGGATTGGAGCGCAGCTTCTCACCACTTAGGCCACCAGAGCCCCCAGGGATGGGTCTACTCAGTGACCCTCAACACCGTTAGGAGCCCTGCCCTCTGGCAGTGGTGACGGGCACTTTTCTTTCCCTTTGTTCCGCTCACTAACTTCCCCTGAGGTCAAGTGGGTCCAAATTCAAAGTCACCCCCCATTGGGAGGGTGTCCAAGGAGGCCAAGTGCAGCAGGAGGAGCCTGGCGGATTGGCAGTGCCGGAGATGAGCAGCCTCCGAGTTGGCGAGCAGCTTGCTGTGGACAATGCCACCTGGTGACCCACCTTTGCATTCCTCGGGTAAATCCTCCTTGGTCATGCATGATTCATGTTCCTTTCCATAGTCTTTGGGGTTTGGTTTGATAGTCATTTTAAAAGCCTTTTTGTTTGTTTGATAGCATTTTGTTGGGCAGTTTGTGTCCGTATTCAGAAGGGAGATCGGTTTGTGTCTTGTGCTGGGGGTGATTTCCTCTGGCTTTGGCAGCCGCGTACTGCTGACTTAGGAAGTGTCCCCTCTCTTCTGTTTTTTTTTTTGGAAATTTAAAAAGATGTGGGGTCACTGCTGCAATGCTAGGTAGCATTCTCCAGGGAGGTCATCTGTTAGTGAAGATGTTGTGCTGTTGCTAGTTGCTGTTAGCAGGATTCCGACCCATTGTGACCCCATATGTGCAGATAAGACCTGCTCTCCAGGGCTCTCAAGGCTGTGACCTTTTGGAAGAAACTGCCAGGCCTTTCTGACAAGGTGCTTCTGGGTTCAAATCACTGCCTTCTGGCCATTAGTCAAACTCTTAACCATCCGTGCCACCCAGGGACCTTTCCTGTGAAACCCTCTGGTATAGGACTTTCCAGGGTATGTTTTATGGTTCAGAGGGTCTGCTATTTTCTAGGGGGGTGCTTAGGGGAGGCTTCTTAAGAGAGTGAGTCGTTCTGGTGTGAAACCCAATGTATATGACCTTTCTAAGTAAACCAGCATAAAATTAAAAAAAAAACACACACAACAAAAAACAAACCCCAGACAAATAGAGCGAGTCGTGTGCAGATCAAGGAGGAGAGCATTCCAGGCAGCCCGGACAGCATGTGCCAAGGCCCTGGGGTAGGAGGAGTACCAGGGATGTTAGAGCAACTACATGGACTTTGGCACTAGTATTAAAGGACATTCCTCCAGCTGCGCCTGGGGCCTCACGCTTTCCTGAGGTCAATAATCAGAGCTAAGCGTGTCAGGTCCTCACTCGACGTGCCAGGTGCTGGGCCAGGTGCCTCCTGGTGAGTCTTATTGACTCTAACTTCCAACTTCACCCAGCAGAGGGGAAATTGGAGGCTCTGTGCTTGGTGATTTGCCCAAGGTCACAGCAAGTGACACAGCCAGGACTCCACCCTGGGGCTGCCTGACCTCTGTGGCACCCATGCTGTCAGACAAATCTCAGCAGTTCTGGCCCAGTGAAGCCAGCTGGGGGTGCTGCCAGCGGGGAGAACCGAGGCCCCGATGGAATTCCTCTGCTGGGCAGAGACAGCTGGCCGGAAACCTAAGCCAGCCGAGTCTGGGGATGGGGGGCGGGACAAGGGAAGGTGGAAGCTGGAGGGTTTCGAAGAATAAAACCGGCTCCCCGAAACCGGTTCAGTGGCCATCTCCTAGGTATGGCCAGGGGTGCTGCCCTTTAAATGGGATAGTCAGACTCTGCCTTCCCGCTAAGGCTGGGATGAGGGTGGAACCCCTCACGTGAGGCCTTCAGAACTTCCTGTCCCCTCCTCTCATCCCAGGGTGCCATGGAACCCAAGGAGTATTCTGGAACAGGGGCAGGGTGGGGGGACAGCTAGGGCTGGGGAGACTCCTCTGGAATTCTCATAGTTAATCTTTACGCCAGACAGGTTGTTGTTATGCGCCACTGAGTCCTTGCAACTCATAGCGACCCTATGTACAACAGCCTTAAACTCTGATCTGTTCTGTGCTAATTGCACTGCCTCCGATACACCCATCCCGATCACCCCAGTCACTAAATCAACCCATCTCGTAGAGGGCCTTCCCCTCCTGCTCTGTCCCTCCACATTCCCAAGCATGATGTCCCTCTCCAAGGAACAGTCCCTCCAAACAGGTTACTGTTTGTTATTTCCCCTAACTCTGTAACAACAGTAGCAAAGGGTTTTGGAAAGTGCTTTCTGTGAGTTAGAAAACCCTCAAAACCCACGACCAATGACTTGGCATTGATGCATTGCTGACCCTGCAGCAGGGTCCCAAGACCGTAACTTGCAGAGAAGAGATTGCCCATCTTTCTCCCTCAGAGCCGCTGGTGGATTCGAACCTGCAGAGAGGCGCAGCCTAGGAGTTAGCAGAGCAGCTCCCCACAGACTCTGCCACCAGCGCTCCTTTCCGCTGTAACAGTGATGTCATAGTGATTTTACCTGTTTTCATTCTCACAATAACCCCCAAAAGAAGAACAATCGTTCTCATTTTAGAGATCAGTATACAGAGACTCAGAGAGGCAAGGAGGCTGCCCCCACTGCTAACAATCAGCAGAGTCAGAAACTCACCCCAAATCTCTGTATCCACTCGACCCAAAACATCAAGCTGCCTCTCTCTATAGCTTCCAGTGCCAAGGGGCTTTTTCTAGCACTTTCACCATGTGGCATTTATTATCTATCATAGCTATTAGGTGTGAGGAGGCCCTGGCTAGTGTAAACAGTCGAGCATTTTGTTACTAAACAGAAGGTTGGAGGTTCAAGGCTACCTAGAGACACCTCAGAGGAAAGGCCTGGTAATCTACTTTTGAAAAACCAGCCCCTGATCACCACAGACTGCAGTTCTGCTCTGACACCCACGGGCTTACCCTCATCAGAGCCACTCTGACTCAGCGTGATCTGGGTCTCCCTGGGAAAGAAGGGACTTGGTCTGTTCTGTCCACTGTTGTGCCCTCAGGGCCTGAAACAGTGCCTGGCGCTCACAGGTTTTCTTGGCCAAAGCAGTCTGGCCGCTCCACTCTGGAACCCCGTGAAGCCAGCCTAAATCGGGGTGACCCTGGGCTCCCTGCCCTGCCTGCCCTCCCTGCCCGCGGCTCACTCTGCCGTGGAGAACGCCAAGGTGAAGTTGTGCCGGCGCTGCGTGGGGTCCAGCGCGGCATAGTCGAAGGCGTCGGGGAAGAACTTGTGGATGAGGGCGCAGAAGGCCATGCCGCTGCTCCAACTGGAGGAGAAGTTCTGGATGTCCACGTGCTGTGGGCGAGCAGGGGGCGCAGTCAGCCTCCGGCCGCCCTCTCACCTCTGGCTGCCCCGTGAGGGGTCCCCTGCCCACCTCGTATTTCTTGGTCATGGCCCGGCACCACTCCAAGAGCATTTGCTTGACCCCGCCGATGGCTACTCCTGCTGCCTTTGTGTTCCGGAACAGGGCTGTGGGACCCGAGGCTGCCCTGTGAGAATGAGAGTGTAGACAGCCAAGCAGAAAGGGCCGATTCACCAAGGACCCCAGCCCCAGAGGCAGGCAGGCCCCACCTTAGCCTGGCCTCTTCCAGTGCCCCGAGACCGCCCCCCCCACCCCGCAACTGGCTCCCAGGGTGCCCCTGGCCAGGTTGGCCAGCGTCCTACCCGCCAAACTTGTCCACGATGGCTTTGCGGTTCTGTGCACGGACCCCTCGGGGCCGGGTCGGGGCTGTCACCCTGCGCTCAGGGGCCTTCTCCTTCTTCTTCTCCTCTGGGGGAGAGGGCTCTGTGGGACTCTGGGGAACATCGCTGGGAGAAGACTCACTGTGAAGCAAAGTCCAGAAAAGGGCTGGAGGGGCTGGGAGCAGCCTTCTGCCAGGGGGGACTAGGGAACTGGGGGTGGGGAGGTGGGCTGCAGTCTAAAGGGGCGTGTGTGATGCATTGCCCCCAGGGAGAGGCTTGGGGGAAACGCTGTGGCCTGTCCTGACTTCCAGGAGCATGGAGCAGAACTAGGGCAGGCCTGAGGGCTGACCTGAGCTGGAATTCTGCCTCTGCCTCTTATTTGCTGTGTGATCTTGGGACTGTCACGTCACTTCTCTGAGCCTCAGCTTCCTCCTCTGTAAAATGGGGACAAGAAAACCTATCAGACAAGGTGGCAGCCAGGGCCGCACGGACTGGTGGATGTAGGGCACTTTGTGGTTGCCTGCCGTGTGATGGCTGCATGGGAAGAGTCGCCTCTCTTTTTCTAGGGAGCCCTGGGTGCACACATCACCCCGGCTTGAGCTATGAGCTGAACGATGAGGCAGGTCTGAGGCGCCCTGGGAGAACTTTGTGCTCTGCTCTACAGACTCACAGCCGTGAACCTTCGCAGCCCAGTTCCGCTTTAGAACAGGGTTGTCATGCATTGGAATCAACTCCTCACAGCTGGTCTGTTCTCAGTTCAGCGGTCCCTAAGGACAGGCACCTTGTTTTAGTGCAGTTTGTTCTATTGTGTGTTGCCAGTTCTGCTTGGTTGTTTGTTTTTAACAAATTGGAGTTTTGGGGCAAGCTTCATAGGACAAGTTATCAGGAGGGGCGAGTTCTTGAAAAATGAGATCATGTTGTAAGGGAGAAGGTCAGAGAAACAGGACACAACCCTCAGTGACACTGACTGGCTTGGTGACTGTCACAGGGGGCTTGGGCATAGCAGAGGTGGTGGGGATGGCACAGGCTGGGGCAGAGCTCAGCTCTGCTATTCATAGGATCGCTACCAGTCAGTTGACTTGATGGCACCTAACAACAACAACAACAAGGGCGCCATTTTTCCCAACAGTATGTGCTCACTCCACATATCTGTGCCACGTTTTGGGAATTCTTACACTATTTCACACTTTTGCGTAATATTGCTGCATACTCTGTAGACCTCAGTATAGTGGAAACACTGCTTTTCTATGAATTGGGAAACAAATAAAAATTATGTGACTCAGTTTACTGCAGCAGCCTGAAACTGGACCTGCAGTATCTCCAAAGCGTGCCTGTGAGTGATAAGGGGGCTGATTTCTCCCTAGTGTAAAGGAAGACTTTTCTAGGGAGCTCTGGTGGCCTAGTGGCAAGAAGCTGCACTGCAATCCCAGAGGTACGTGGTTCAAATTCACCAGATGCTGTGCTGGAGAAGGAAGGGCAATCTCTTCCTGTACCAGTCAGATCTGATTTGGTGGTACACACACATAAAAGAATAATTTATTTTTTTTAAGGAAGACTTTTCTGGTCTTGCAATGGCAGGAATAAAGCTGTCATGTTATCCAGCCCCCACCATGCACAGCTTCATCTCACGTATCTTGGGCATGTTGCTAGGGAAGGTTCTTACTTGGAGAAGGACAGCATACTTGGGAGGGTGGCGAAGGACAGGAAGACCCTCAATCAGATGGATTGACGCAGTGACTACAACAATGGGCTTGAAGGTGTCAGAGAGTGTGAGGATGGCACAGGATAGGGCAGGGTTCAGATCTGTCCTTGTTCATATATGGTCACTATGAGTCGTGCTCAATTCAATGGCACCTAACAACAACAACAACAACAACAACGTACCAGGTACTGTGCTAAGTGCTTTGCACATGTTGTGTTACTTAAGCTTCAGGATAACCTGATAAGGTAGGTGCAATCATGATGCCCATTTCATAGATGAGAAGAGGCAAAGTGACATGGCCAAGGTCACACAGCAGGTAGGCAGCAAAGTTGTTCAAATTCTGGCTTTGGGACCACGGTCTTGTGGTTGATGCAGACACCACAGAAACGGGCTGAGTGATGTCAGCAGTGGCCTGGGAAGGGGCCCTGGTGTCCTCACATTTCCTCCTGCCACTGGTTCCCTTGGTTTCCCGGGCTCTACCCTGGGCTAGGGGCTGAGGACAGGAATCCTGGAGCTGGGGAAGAGGTGAAAGGTGGTGGCCAACTTTGAAGGGAGCAGGGGGAAAGAGATGATTGTGAACCGGAGCCCTTGGCATTGACATTACCTGGCAGAAGGACTGGTCTCTCCAGAAGCTTCTGTGTCTCGGCTCATCTCATCTGGAAGACAGGCATGGGAAGGAGGTAGGTTGGGGTACTCGTGGCAGGCCCTGGTTGCGGCCTCCTGCCCTGCACCTCCCGCGGGCCCCCAGGCTCTCACTCACCAGGGCTGAGGCCCTGACCCTCCTCTGTGGGGCTCTCAGGCCACTCCTCGGGGGAGCTGGGGACCACCTGAGCCCCCTCCTCTGGCTCTCGCTCCACATCCTGGGCCTGCCTTTCACTGTTACCACCAGGTTCCTGCAATGAACATGGTCCCCATGAATCTGAAAGTGGCTTGAAGCCACAGAGCATCATCCCTGCCCCACTTTGCTGGCCCAGCCACCTGAACTCCAGGATGGGAGGACCGAAGTTGCTGGAGGAGGAAGGCAGAGCGGGTTTGCCCCTCAGGCCAGGAGACAGGCTGCCTCGCCCATCCCTCCCCTCACCTGCCTCACCTCCTCCTCCCCTTCCTCACTCACCTCCTCCTTGGAATCCTTTTTAGTCTCTTCTTTCCCATCAGCCTCCTGCGGTCCAATTTTAGCCTCGTCATTCACAACAGCTGTCTGCTGAGGTTCAGTCTTGTCTTCTTTCACACCAGCCTCCTCCTCGGGCTTGGGCTCGGGCTGCTCCAGCTGGTCACTCGCCTCCTGAGGGGCCAGCCTGGCTGCCTCCTTCCCACCAGCCTCCTCAGGTCCAGCCTTGGCCTCCTGCTCACCGGAGACCGGCTTGCCTTGAGCTTTTGCCTGGTCCTCCACGTCAGCTTCCTCCCTCGATCCAGGCTTGTCCACCTTCTCCTCAGACTTCTGTGTTTCAGATCCAGGCTTGGCCTCCTTCTCCTCAGACTTCTGTTTCTCAGGGGCTAGCATGGCCTCCTCTTTACCCTCAGGCTTCTTGAGTTCCGATTCGGCTTCTCCTTTCTCATCGGTCTTCTCCTGAGACACCCCCGTTGACTCTTCACTCCCACCACCTTCCTTTTCAAGTTCCGCTGTATCTTCTACTTTGGACTTCACCTTGACCTCATCTAGCCCATTTGCTTCTCCCTGGAATCCAGCTGTGACGCTCCCCTCAGCTGGTGTACTTTCCGACTTCCCTGCACCATCTGGAGATCCATCCTTGACAGTCTCCCCAGCTGTGTCCTTGGCTGCCTCCTCTTCAGAAGCCCCATTTCCTGGGGTCCCAGAGTCCTCTGTGGTGGGGGACACGTTGGTCTCATCTGCCGAGGGCTTGCCTTCCTTGTGATCCATTTCTGGAAAGAGAAGCAGCATAAACCTAGTCATGCCTGACCTCAGTGAGTGTGGGTCTGGGTATCAGCAGGTCAGGGGCTCAGTCTTGGCTCCTGCAACCCTCAAACATCCACTCTTCCTGGAATACAACCAAAGAGAAGACAGCTGCTTCCCAAAGGGCAGGAGAGATGGAGTACATTCCTTGAGGTTGGGCAGTATTCTCCTAAAGGCCCTGTGAATGTCCCAGCGTTGTCTTGAAAGAACATTGGATTTCCATAACTCTGAGACCAGAGGAGCTAGATAGTGCCCGGCTCCAACTGCTGGGCACTCCCAAAAGGGGTCACAGCAGAAGGTCTTGGATAAATGAGCATAAAATGATCACTTCCTGGTCTGATAGAGACTTCTGAGATGCCCCAAACTATGACCCCCTGCTCGCCCTTTGAACCTGGGACAAAACTCACTTGTATGGCCCACTTAACTTTCACACAAACTGTAGAACAGGCCAATAAGGGTGAACGATACATCAATAAGGGAGGAGCAACACTCTTACTCCTTAGAATAAGCAACCTCATAAGGTCACAAGAGCCGCGTTTGTTCAGAGACAAGGCTCAAAAGGCAGGAAGAGACAGGACAGAAAGGTGAATGGAAATGAGAATCACAGACGTTGGAAGAATGCGGTTACAATGTGTATTGTAATTAATGATGTTCCTCAAAATGTCCATGAATGATTGAATGAAAACTCAGTGTGATTTGTAAACTTTCACCCCCCAAAATACATTTTTTAAAGATATTAGGGTTTTAAAACAAACAAACAAACAACAACAACAAAAGACCCTACCCCAAACAAACCCAGCAGGATTAATGGAAGCTAGAATCACAGGGAAGTAAAGGGAAAAGTGTGATTACATTGTGGGTACTGAAATCACTCTTATATAAAACAAAATCTGTATGAATGATTGAATGGATCAAAACCAATGTTCTTTGTAAACTTTCATTCAAATAGCAATAAAAAGGAAAAAATAATAAAGACACTGGATCACATTATGCGTCTCCAAAAAAAAAAAAAAAGAAGTTGTGAGAGAAAGACTTTGGAGTGAACCACTGACAGCAGTAACAGATTTAAGCACCTCAGAGGCTGTGAAGATGGAACAGAATCACGTAGGGGTTTCTTCTGTTGTACATTGTTGTTGTTATGTCCCATCGTGTCCGAAATGACTCCTAGCTGACCTTCCAGAGGGTTCTCAGAGGCAGTAGATTACACAAGAGATTGTCCATCTTTCTTCTCTGGGGCAGCTGGTGGATTTGAACCTCAGGCCTTTGGCTTGGCAGCATGGGTCCTTATCACTAGGCCAGACCTCCCTGTGTCACCATAAATTGGCGCCAACTCTACAACCACTGACAACAACAACAACTAAAATCAAGTTCTGGAGGCACAGTGGTTCAAGTTCTCAACTGCTAGTCAAAAGGTTGGGAGTTCAAACTCACCAACCGTTCCGTGAAAGAAAGAAGTGGCAAGCTGCTTCCATAGGAGTTACAGCCTCTGAAGCCCTGTGAGGAGGTCTGCTGTGTGGACAGGGTCACTGGGAATCTGAATCAGCTTGAAGGCACCGGGGGCGGGGGGGGCAGGGGGTGGGGAGGGACAGTGCCGATTTGATCCCAGCACACCACTATCACCTGGGGAGCGATCTCTCCTCCGTTTGAAGGCAGCCAGCCAGCCTGCGGCTCCGAGCCCAGAGCAGGCGAGTGTACCTAGATAGAATTGAACAACACCGTTTTGTTCCCATTGTGTTTATTTTTACAGTGGCCTTCTATTTCTGGCAAGTGAGATGGCGTTTCCATTCCCAATCGTGATCTGACGATGGTGTCTTTTAAAAATATATTTAATTGAATTTAAAAATAAGTGAATTCAGAGGAAAACATGCAGGAGACTCGCGTGCAGGTGGCATAGATGTAGCTCTGTCGGGGTGGTGTGAAAGCCCCTGAAATTTGTGATTGTGGGTCAGCTGGTGCCCCTGGGGGTCAGCCACCTTGGCAGCCTGGGGCTCTTGGAAGCAGTGGGCCTGGGCAGGGATGGGTGTGCTTTGGTGTGCTTTGACAGGGGAGCCTGATCCTCCAGCTGCCCCAGATGAGAGGAGGGCAGGGTTATGATACCTTTACTCGGGGTTTCCTATGCCAGTACTAGATACACTCTTGTTGTTAGGTGTCATTGAGACGGTTGTGATTCAGTGAACAACAGATCCGAACCTCGTCCTATCGTCCTGCACCATCCTCTGATGTGACTGAGCCTGTTGTTACGGTCACTGTGTCAGTTCTTCTTGTTAGGGATCCTCTCTTTCTCTGACCCCCCACCTTTCCCAGCATATCCTTCTCCAAGGACTGGACCCTTCTGACAGCACGCCCAAGGTACGTGAGACAAACCTTTCACCATCCCTGCCTCTAAGGAGCACTCTGGTTGCACTTCCTCCAAGAGAGATTTGTTGGGTTTTTTGGCAGTCTGTCAAGTATTTCAGTTTTCAACAAGACCACATCTCGTATACACTATAGGATCTATATAAACAGGTGTGTGCAGGGGACAGGGGCCACCCCTTCATCTCCCTGCCCTTTTTAGGGGTCTGGTTACAAAGAAAACAATACCCAAATAGGGTTTAGGGTGTGACTCGAGAGGCTAGAGACGTGAGGACTCCTGTCACTGGCTAAAAATACCTTCTGCCTTGGCAGTGCCATCTTTCTTGGTGACAGTGCCCAGGCGCCTGGCTCATTGGGGCAGAGGACAGGAGGCAGTGGGACAGGCAGGCAAAAGACAAGCCTTCCCTCTCGGGTCTTCCTGCCTCTAGACCAGAGTCCTTGGGGCCCTGGGCTGGGTACCCTTACCATTTCTTAGGAAGGAGCCTGAATTTGTGAAGATGTTCCTATGGTCCCTTTGTTCGGAATTGAATGGACACCTTACAAAATGTGTTATAACTAACCTGTGTGTCTGTGGGTATATCCCCATTGTAGAGGTTTCTCTGTTTTGTGCATCAGGCAGTATCAGTGTAGGCTGTGTCTTAAAGCCATAAAAGGTTGAGCTGTACAAGATCAGATCAGGCACCCAAGAAAGCAGACCCAGTGCAGACGAACACTGTCTGAAGGCGGACAGGTCTGTGAATGAGGGAGCGCTGAGGATGGGTGCTTAGAGAAGCAGACTCAAGGATTTGACCTGGGAGCTGCCGAGGCCTTCTCCTCACTTCAGACAACCACTGACCTCCCTTCAGACACCAGGCCCCCTACCTGTGAGACTTCAGTTCCGGAGCTCTGGTGGCAGATCGAAGCAGAGCTATGATCTCTAGGGATGGGGGGGGGGATCCCCAGAAATCTCCCAGCTGCTCCCCAGGAGAAGGATGGCCATCTCCTCCTGTATGATTTACTGCCTTTGAAAAATTGCTGGGCGATCAGCTCTGAGTCCATTCTGATTTGAGGGCACACAGCAGCAAAGCCACCCACCCACGTGTGGTCCTGCAAGGCAGCGCGAAGAAACAAAGGCTTCCTGGGTAGTTCAGATCCAGAAATGTGTTCAGACAAGAGGGTTTTTAAAAAAATAAGATTGAGCCTGGAAGACGGCTCAAGAGCCAGAAGGACATTCATGGAACTGGCCTCCCCCTCACTCACTCACCTTCTCACCTGACGCCTGGCCACGTCCCTTCGCCTCTCTCGGGGCTGCAGTTCCCCCTGACAAGAGTCTGGGCTGCTCTTGGTGTGGTGCACTGCAGGGGTGAATGCATAGTGTTAGGGCGCGCTGTCCCAGCGTGGCAGGCGTCCACTCCCACAGGCTTGGCTGCCTCCTGTCCAGCCCTGTCCCAAAGTAACATCCCGATCTGGCCTCAAGGGCGTCGTAGTTGGTGAGACCAAGCGGAGAGGGGCAAACGCCAGGAAGATGATAACAAACCCTTTTTATACCTCGGAGTGTCATAGTACTTGGCGGGGACGTGGCTGGGCACACCAGCCATCCAGCTTCCTCCTCTTTGCTGTCCCTCTACAGGCCTCACGTGGGGTGGCAGAGGGGAAGGACAGGTGAGCACACACGCACGCGCACACACACTCTTTCTCTCTCACACACGCTCGTGCTCACACTCTCTCTCAGCCACCCTGTTTTTACCACCTCAGCTTCCCACCTTCCAGGCGCATCATAAATAGACCACGAGAGAAGAGCCTCAGAACTTGGGAAACCAGGACACCAGTGGCAGCTGCAGAAGGGACGACTCTCTGGCCGGTTAGGGTTAGGGATAGCACCCCGCTGCAGCTCAGCCCTCACCCTAACCCTGTGGAATGGGTGTTTCCGGTTGCCCTCAGATCATGGTAAATCTCCACACGGCACAGCACTGAGCTCCAAAGCGGGTCTTCATAGGCAGCCTCTGAAGCTGATGCCGCTGGCCCCATTTTACAGATTAGGGATCTGAGGCTCCCAGTGGAAGTCTCTTCGCTGAACTCAGAGGACAATCACGGAACAGTTAAGCCCCAGATCACCTGACTCCCAAGCCCCATGCTCTCTCGAGATCTTCCGTCCCCAACCAGCTTCTTGGCCCATGGTCCTACGGCGGCCCAGCCCACAGTGAGGGCCACACCTCTGGTGGAGGAGGATGGTATGCTCAGCTCTTTCTTCTCAGCACACCAGGCCCTTCATAAAAGTTCCTTCCCTCCTTTTTGCCTCCCCTTGGCTGTAATCTTTATGCAAACAGACTGCCAGGCCTTTCTTCCATGACACCCTATGCGTGTCTGTGTGTGTGGCTGGAGTCCTACCCACTCATCTTTCTGTTCGTAGTCGAGAGTAAATCGTTTGTGCCACCCAGCACCTGCCCCTTCCCTACTTACACCCTAGTTTCCTTCTTCCTTCCCTGCTTGTGGATGATGATGGCCCCCTCGTCCTGCTTCTCTGGGCACATCAGGAAGACGAGAGCCCAGGGATCAAGTTCTAAACCCTGAGGAGTTCAGGCCGCACTTGACAGTCCTGCTGCTGTCTCCATCAGCCGCTGCCACCAGCCTGGCTT